CAGGGGAATGCAAGAAAGTGCAGTGATGCAGGAAGAATTTGGAGGACATGGAAAAAGGAAGAAAATGGGGTGTATGTTTAACTGCTTTAGCAAAATAATGCAGCTATAAAATCAGCTAACTGGCCTGTATGTTCTGACTGCTTTGAGCTGATACCCTCCAGCTGATTTGCCCGTATGCTGTATCAGTGAATCGGACTGGAATTTAAAATTGGAATTTAACATTATTAATGACTGAAAGTATATCTCCAAAACAGCTCTTTATATAGACTTTTGAATCAAAAAGAAATTCCCTGACATAGTATCAAGATAGAATTAAAATTCAGAGCACATACAGGAGTTAAGGGTGAAATGCTGGAATAACATCCAAATTAAGTGTGTTAAACTGGACTTTAACAATTAAAGTTAAAACAAATGTAAACATTTAAAAAATGTAGAAATGAAATGCACGCAATTTTAACTAGCAGTTTGTCCTTTTCTATCTAAAATGTTTCAGTGAGTTTTCTGCCTCATTTAAAAACAACGACATTTGTTTCTTTAGAGCCAAAATCTACATTGATATAAACAGCATGCGTTATTTGGTGGTGCTGAGCTAGATGTAAAGTAAACGCACATCACAGCTGTGCAGCTTGACTAGATGTGCCATCTGTACATCAGGGGTGTGCAAAATGTGGGTATCTTACTTGCATTTGGTGTTATGTGGGGAGCAGTTCAGGCCTGCTGTGAGCAAATGCAACCTGCAGTGAAGTCGGGAGAGGCTGAAGAAGGGTCCACATGTAAGTGAAAGTCTGGGGTGTGAGATGCCTTAAAATTTATCTTAAATGTTCCTGTCAGTTGCTTTTCCTGCTACATCTCCCTTGGCCCTCTGACCCATAGAGGCCTAGCTTTGGCTTCAGAAATGTGGTTTGTCTCTTCAACTTCCCTAACTTCAGCAATTGTTGCACCTGGTAGGAGTTGAGCCCTTTGGTCATAAGCTGCATTTGTTCACCTATGCCTTGAATGTCAAATGAGTGCCAGTGATTCTAGACTGCCTGCTGGCTCAGTCCCATGTTGGTGCTGGATCTGGCACAGACCTTTCCATGAGGATCAAACCTACTTTCTTCTGATTAGATTTGACCAACTTGACACTGAGCTCTTAACAATAATGCCCTCATAATGAAAACCTAATAAGGCAGGCGTTCATAGTATGCCTTAGGGCTAACAGAAGATACCCAAGCTAGTGCCTGGTGAAAATACCTCTTCACCTCAGAAATCCCAGCCCAGATCCTAATTTGTGTGTTGCCTCTTGAGAATCAGCCAACCTTTATGTCTCTCTATGTATAGAATGGGCCTAGTAATAACCTGGAAGCATATAGCACTTTTTACCCCCATATCTCAAAGCTCATGAAAAGATGACTAAGCATGACTAGCCCCATTTTTCAGGCAACCTGATTAAATAAGTACATTTGAATCTGTGTTCCTAATGTACCTAAATTGGACTGCTTGTTTTAGAGGTCCAGGCGTCTGTTCCTAGCTCTAAGATTTCTGTACTGTTCCATGACTGCCTTTTTTTTTAACCTTCCTTACATATTCTGTAGTGGGAGTAAAAATACTTGCCTTGTACTGAAATTAGAAATATGTGGTCTTCCTACATAAGAGGGTGATGCAAAGAGAATGAAGGTCATATAGCAGAGTAGGTGAGAACAGAATTCAAGATCTTTTGGCTCCCAACCTAGTTGACTTTCCCCCCCAAAAAGAAGCCATTGCAGTAGGAATGCCTGTCCATGTCAGTCTATTTTATCAGATTCATGTCTATGTCTTTATCAGTCTACATGTCTATGACAATCCACTTAATCAGATGGTCAAGGGAGAATACAAGCAAATTCAGTTTAGGCCTGCATCTGGAAACGATCTCTGGAGGCCTCTGCCTGTGAATACTGTTTGAGATACTAGGGTCTGATTGTTTTAGCACTATCGAGCACCTTCAAATGAAGTCCATGGAATGTGCATGTACTTAGACCCTTCAAATGTTAGGCCCTGGTCTCAAGTTCGGTATTTGTAGATTATACCGATGTCACTGAGGGCAAAACTGAACTTCCTGTGTTTACGGCTGGCTACCCAAAAATGGAGGCATCCAAAATTAGTGGAGACTTGCAAAAGTAGGTTGTACTGTACTGCTAAGTTAGCTCTACAGACATGTAGCATGCAACCATTCATAGGTGCACACTTCTGACAACATTGCTGCTATGGATGCTTACGTGATTTTCAAACATGGATGTTTCTGCTGAATTGAAATAATTTCTGTCAGATAAAGGAAAGCTGCTGCTCCTGGGAAGGCTGATTTTCTTGTCCAAGTCAGACTCAAAATCTTTGGCTATGAAACAGTTGAAACAAAAGTTGTAAACATATTTGTATCTTGTGGACGGTGCACTTTATTTGCACTCTGCTTTCTGTTAAGGATGGATTAGCTGATTTGCCCTACATGAACAAACATGAAATTCACCTCCAGGCCTTTCAGTTTTTTAGTCTGGAAAACATCCGTTTCAAAGATGAAGGTTTCATAAAGTTCTGAGTGACTAAGAACAAGGGTTGTGACAACAGAAGTCTTCTGGTAAACTTAACTGCAATGAGTTATGGCAAATTTACTGTGAGCAGGTGTTAAGATGATATATTGGCCAACAAACACAATGTGGTCTGTGTACCACTGTTTAAATTCAGACTGTTCTGATCTGCACAGCACCAGGGGTCTCATTTGTCAAGGGAGAATTTACAGCCTCCCACTTGTGCACAGGTGTTTGCGTGAAACTCAGTGTTTCAGTTCTCTCCTAATGATGCTTTTCTTTCTCTCCTCGTCACATGCATACACAATAATGCACCCCTTCACAATAAGGAGGCTGCAATCAGCCCACATGCCCTAATAAGATTTCCAGAAACCCAGTTCAACCAATTGTGAGCAGAGAAAGTAGACCTCAGGATCTCCTTATAATCATCTTGCTAACAAGAGAACCTTCATCCCAGCACCTTTCCATAAGGCCTTGCTCAACCCACATCTGGCCCACTACATGGATTAGCTGTGTTAATCTGAAGTCAAGCAGTAAGAAGGGCAGGGTGGCACCTTAGAGGCTAGATAATTCATAGAGCCCTAAGCTGTCCAAGGAGGCAAGCGTGCTTCATCAGATGCTAAGAATGCATGCTCATGAAAGCTCATGCCTCCCTGAACCAACTGGTCTTTTCCAGTTGCAGTGTCGGCCCCCCCCCAAAGATGCACACAATGCAACAGAAGCATTTTTCAGTGCACTTTCTCCTTGCTCACTACTCTGTGCCCTGTGCCATGCACTTTCAGTTCTGTGCCCCCAGCCCTTCTTCCTTCTCTGTGCTCACAGCTCTGTCTCAGAGATGTAAGTACTGTAGTCGGTTCTGCTTCCTGGGTGGTGGCAGTGCATGGTGTAGGAGCAGTGGCCAGAGGCTTGCTGCTGTAGGGGGAGATGTTACCTCCTTTTTTTGCTGCCAGCATGTGTTGAGTGGCCATTTAAACACTAATGTTCACCTGCAAAAAAAGGTGACATCTTCCCCTGCAGCAGTGAGCCTTTTGCTACTGCTCCTGCACGATGTGCCACCTCTGCCAAGGGTACTGTGTGCTGCTGCTGTTGCTCTGCCTTCTCCACTGCCAAAGCTGGAGCTGCTGCAGGGAAGGTGCAGGCTTTGTGGGAGGGTGCAAGAGATGGCAGGGCGAGGCACCCTCCCCCACTTAGGCAGCACTCAGGATTTGTGCCCCACTCAAGCATCCATTGTTACACTACTGATCTGCCATCTCTGCCCATTGCCCCTGTACTGTGATCACTCACTCAACAGCTTGTGCAGCAGATGCCACTATGTTAAAGTTTCTTGTTCTAGTCTATTGAGAGAGGCAGTTATCCGTGTTATTCTGAAGTTAGGCCAATGGCCAGGAAAGGTCACACCTTAGAGACTAATTTGCTCACAAAATATTTAAATTGCTTTCTTACTTTCTATTTAGTACCCCTACTCTCTGCAAGTCCATCCATAGCATCTGACAAAGCAGGCTGCTCCCTGTGAAACCTTATGCCTCTCTGAATAAGTTAGTCTCCAAGGGCCTTGGTACATGCTCAATTTGTGCCATTCCAAATCCATGGCACGTTGGGATGTAAAAAGAGCAGGCCATGTTCATGTTTGAGCGTGAGCTTGCACTGCTTGTGCTCCACCACTGTGGGGATGCTGAGCAGATATTCTGGCCCCCCTGGATGGCAACGTTTTTGGGCAGTGCCAAAACCCCCCACAACCTCGACTTGTAAGATGTTGGCGTGCCAGGGGCAGACAGCAGGGATCTGTGACCCAATCCTTGTTGTGACAGCACAGCTTTGGCCTCTTCCCCAAGGCATGCATGCCAAGCAAAATGTCTTCGCGTGCCATGCTCTGGCACTCGTGCCAGGGGTTGCCAAACCCTGTTCAAGCCAGTCTTGCTCCTGGGATTTCTGAGAACTGCCCCAAGGAAAGCACCAATTGCTTGCCTGACTGATGTCACTCCCAGCCTGCCCCAGCTAGTGGGGAAGCTAAGGTTGGGGCTGGGGGCTGGTGGGCTTGTGGGGGAAACTGAGGCATGGGGGGAAAGGGGAGGCAGATGTGCAGAGGCCCCTTCCACTCCTTCCCTGGATGCCCTGGTAAAATCTTAACCTGGGTAAAATGTAAGACGGACCAATGGGCCAGTTCACAGCCTATTTGAATGATGGTTAATTATTGCCTCCAAGCTGGGAATGGAAAGTCAATCCCTCTCTCCCAACCTCATCCCAACCCTGTTTCCTGTCATCAAGCTGCGTCCCTTGGGCACTGCTCGCACCACACCAATTCCTTTGGGGAGTTTCTGGGGATGACTTTCTCCCAGGGTTTTTAATATCGATTGCTGCCCTCTTAGGAGTAGAGCTCAAACTGAGCGAGAGATTGGCCTTGGAGCATGAGAGAAGACAGGGAGTGGTGCATCCTGGGATGCTGGAGGAGAGTGATGTCTTGAGCGTGCGTTTGCTCACACTCTGGAGCGTCGCAAATGCATTTCGGACAGCATAAAATGAACGTGCACCAAAGCCATAAGGTGCCACCCTGCCCTGCCTTCATGCCAGTCAATCCTGACCTTTTCCAGCACTGAGTGCCGTCCGCCCTGTTCCTATAGCCCTTGTGTAACAGCATGAGCCTCTGCCACCTGCACATGTGGCTTTCTCGCAATTAGGAAGAAAAGTGCTTTTTGCAGTCAAGTTAATTCAGATGAATTAGCTAAACTTAAATGAAAAAAATCCCGTTTTTGTAGGCTGGACAAGGTGTAAGGGCTCATTCTAGGGAGTTCTGTTGCAACCCCAAGAAGCCAAAGGTCTTCTTCATGGCTCAGGAATTAATTACACATTTTTAATTGATCAGGAAAGAAAGAAAGCTCTTCCTAGTTCAAGGTTTTTGGTCAAAGGAAAAAGAGGCTGAAAGGAAGGCCAGGGTATCTGAGATCTGCACTTCCATTTCTATATCAAAGACCAGTTTTAGTGTGAAGTCTGGTGTTGAAAAGTGGCAAAAGAAGATTATCTCTAGATAAAAGGCCATTGATTGCAGTGGATAAGGCAAGAACTTGAGAGGCCCTTTCAAATTAGGCAACTTAAAGGTAACTCCAAGCTACCCAGAGTTTAATAAAGTTAAAAGCAGTGGTGAGAACAAAGACTCCCTAGGGAGAAATCCCCCAGCCTGAGGAAAAAAGCCTGTCATTTCAAAGAAAGGCTTTGAAGTTTGGCTGGAACCAGCTCCCCTAGACAAGCAGTTAATGAGATTGCAGTAGGACATGGGTCACTTTGGTGTTTCTTTAGATCACCGTCTTGGGAACATTTGTCAACACTATAGAAATCCATTTGATTCAGAGGCGAGCACCTTCTTGCATGCTCAAGGTATAAATAGCTGAGACAGCAATACTGGAGACAATTTAGTATCTTCAAGGGTGCAGCTATGCGGCTTCTTGCCCCAACTACAGTGCTTCTGATTGGCCTCTTCTGCGCTCCCAGCTTTGTCAGTAAGTTCCCTTTCTCTTCTTATCCTCTGGTTTTTAGCACCTTTGGTTCTGATCTTTGGAAACAAAGTACTGGTACTTGTGAATTAACACGGTCGGTTGCTATAGCTGACATCGGATGCATCCTTTATTGGGCGATGACATCTTCTACTTGGCTGCTCCATCTTCTGCAGAGCACTGAGCTGATTCTTAGCACTCAGCAAATAACTTTGGGCTGGTTTATATGAGGAAGTCACTGTGCTGGAAGTTGGAATGGGAATTTACAGTGCACTTGCTGGTCCATGCTAACCCTCTGTGTGAATGATCTCAGTACACAGTAAGCCCCTTTTAAATTCACCTAGCATACATAGCAGTAACTGCTCTGTGTAGATAAGCCTTTAGTCCCCTCCTGGCAAGAAAGAAAGCAAGAAAGTAGCTTGAGTTTTGAAGTGGGGCTATCCTGAATTTTGCATGTTGTGCCTGCAGGTGCAGGAGCTATCAGCAGACAGAGTGAGCAAAGGAACTTATTTGCAGACAGAGGTTGCTGTAGGAGGCAGAGCCATTACCTCTACATTGGACATGGTAAGTGAATATCTTCCCTAGGCTTTAAGAAGCTTGGTTCTTCCAGTTTTTTCACTCACTTTGGATCACTGATGCCCCTCTGGGCATTTTCTTGAGGCTCACAAGACATCATTGTCTTTTTATCCCCCAAGCAGTTAAAGACAAAAGTCAAATAAATGTGACAGAGCCTCAGCAGGCGCTCTGCCTAATCTGCTGTTGGATATTGCAACAATATCCTCAATTTGCTTTAACAACATGCTAACTAGTGTGGTTTTCAAGATTCGAGGTTTTTAAGACCCGTGTACACAAAGCCTTAGCTGGGATGATCTAATTGGGGTTGGTCTTGCATTGAGCAGGGGGTTGGACTAGATGTGACCTCCTGAAGTCCCTTCCAACTCTAAGTTTCTATGATTCTAGTGGAAAAACTGGTTAATTAGACAGTACACTGTATTTGAATTAAATAGTCTTCAATTTTTGTAACTAATATATTGAAGTTTGTTTCCAGGAAATTGTTTTCCTTCTGTTGAATATGCATTATTTCATGGATACAATGTTCCACATTGCCTCAGTTCTAAGATTTTAATTTGGAAGTGGCAAATTAAGATTTTAATGTGGAGATAAGGCAAATTTATTTTGCTGTGCACACAGATGAGGAAGTCTTTCTAACCTTTTGGTACTGAAAAATAGCTGTAACTTTTGAAAATAACAGATAGTTTTGTTTCATTCTGCAGTTATCACAGTATAGTGGTAAAGGATTTTATAAATGAGCCTTGACTATAAAATTGGCTATAAATTAGCATTATGTGGTGATTTGTCTTCATGGATAAAACCCTTGAGAATCTCATCTTTGCCATAATGTGACTCTGGGCAAATAATTTTGGGTAAATAACTTACTCTTACATGGCATGTACCTCAGTACTAGAGAGAATGGAGAAAAAATGAATAGCAGAAAGGACAAATTGCAACCCCACTCCACATTTTTACAGTGCAAAGAAATCTCTCCTGTCTTATAAGGTAAAGTCTATGGCCACATCCAGACAAGTGAGGCTGTGTGGTATGTGGTGTTGCTATTTTCCACGCTGTCAGGTTGTTGTTTTTTTGACCCCCAAATAGCCACTGCTAGTTGCCCCCAGGGAAACAAACGTCTCTGCTTGTGTGGACATGGCCTAAAAACAAAATTATTTCTTGTTGCAGCTCTATCTGGATGTGTCTGGAGATGTTCCTTTAACTCTGCGGAGCACAGTATTGTTATACAGGCAGTCCTTGGACTTACGACACAATTGGTTCCTGAAAACCACATCTTAAGTCGAAACGTTTTGACTCGGAACCAATTTTCTCATAAAAAACAATGTCATAAATGGGGGATTGGTTCCTGAACCAAGGCCTGATACCATATTTTCACCAAAAATACCCCAGAATTTTGTACCCGATCAATTATAGACGAGTACTATAGCGACATTAATGAATTTATGTTGTAAATAGCAATCATATTGATTTGGAAGGACTTCTTTGAGGTGACTTTGCTGGACTTTTTGAAAGGCTTTTGGCTGGACTTTTTGAAAGGCTCTTGGCTGGCGTCTTCTCAGGAGTCTTGGCTGCAGGTTCTTCTGGCGTCATGTCTGCTTTCTTAAAGAAAGCGTCCAAGGAAGTTTGGGCAGATGTTCTCCAGGGAGATGAGTGATGCAGCGAACTTGTTCGCTGGCATGGCATTGCATTGGATCAAGTGTTGTGAGTCAAAACTGGCATTGTAAAGTTGAAACAGGGTGTCAATTTATAAATGTAAGTGAAAAATGTAACTCGAAACGGTGTAAGTCGAGGACTGCCTGTAGTCCTTATCCCACATGCTGGGCACATCTACACAAAATGCTAACTGCTCAGTAGCCGGATAATACTGTGCAGTAGCATGTCGCAGCACCAACAGTGCTAATACACTACTGCACAGTATTATTAGGCTACTGCACAGCAGTGTCACTTAAAAGGTGGTCACTGGAGCTACTGCACAGTAACTGCAATTACTGCGCATTTATATAGTACTTGATTATATTCAAGTACTAAATAAATGTGCAGTAACCACTACACACAGTAGCATCTCATGTAGACATGCCCACCATGTGAATATGGGAACACCTGATGTCTTGTCTCCATGGGGAAGCTGCTGTGAAGTAAGTATGAACCTGAAGAGTGAGACAACTGCTTTGCTCTAACTGCACTAATTCATCAAATGGATGCTTACTCTACTTTACATCATTCAGTTAAAATCCAGTTTTAAGTGAAATTGGTGCAATGAATGCCATGTCCACACAGGAAAACTAAGGCAAATTAAAACAAGTTAATTTAAGGTGTGAAGCCAATATTTGTTTGTTTATAGCATAATTAAACCACTGTATAGATGGTCTCATTGAGGAATAAAGTGGCTGTTTGAACTAAGACCTAGTGTAGACAAGCCTTTCGAATAGAGATAAGGGTTTTGGAGAGTAATGACCAATTTTCAGGAATATTTCTGGGAGACTGATAATCACTGGCTTTCTGCCAACTAGAAATCCTTAGCCTGTCTGGCTGACACTCCCCCTGGTGGTGTGAAAGCTGGCTTGACTTTTCCTGCCGCCTCTTAAAGAGTTTACTTAGACCATAGGCAGACATACATGTCTCTCCACAATGGGGGGAAGAGGGGCAGCCAGCCGGTGGCTGCTCTTCTGTGCAGTTGGCTTTTCTTAGAAGGCAGTGAAGCAATCCTCTCCGGAGCTCCTAGGCCCTCTCCCAATGCAAAGGACTAATAATAATATTCTGCGTTCTGTAGGGAGTCTCATTTCATCTTCCTTGTGTTTCAGACATCTCTGGAAGTCCTGTAAGTGTGGATGTTGGGATGTGCAGGTCCCATTGCATATCCCAAAGGATAAACTCATATCAACCTGGACTTCGAGGCCTCTCCAGACATTCCTCCATGTTGGACTTCCTTAGAACTAAGAAGGTGAGAAAAGTGCATCCTAAATACATGCATGAACTCACTGAAGTTGTTCGATTCTGAAGTATAATAAGCATCTCTTGTCCTGCCACAGCCTACCAACAAGAGCAATAGCTGGGTTATATGAAAGGAGAGTCTCCCTGGCTGTCAAAAAGCACCTGGGGGAAAAAAAAAACAGTCAGAGCTTGGTTGTGTACAAAGGTGTTACTCACATTTTATTATATCTTGATGCTCTATGACAGTGGTTCTTAACTTGTGGTCTACGGACCCTGGGGGGG